CTACCTGTGTCTCTGAAGTAGGACCTGGCTGGTGGAAAGGCCAGAGCTCACCCACAGAGAAGAGAGCCTGAGGAAAATAACCAAAAGGAATTCGGAACGAATCCACCCAAGTCTGCAGGAAACCAGCCCAAGGCATCTTCCCAGAACCTTTGTTGGCGCACACAGTGGGCAGTGAGTGACCTTTCAGAGAAGCCACAGGGAGAAGACAAAATTTCCAAAAGCAGCCATACCCACATGTATGTGTGCTTGAGCCTTTGAGAGCACGCCCCACTGAGACTGCAGGCCAAGGCCGTGCCCTGCTGGAGTCTGGCCAACTCACAGTAGCTCTCAGCATCCTTGGTGATAGGAGGGGCTGGGGGTGAGGTGGGATGCAGAGCAGCAGAGGCTCGGAGATGTGACTCCCAGATTATTCAGGTAGCAGATAAAGGTGCGCTTTTCAATAATATGACCCTGCTGGAGGAGAAGGAGGAGAAAGAAGAGGAAGAGGAGAACAATGGCAGCATACATACACACATACACATACACACACACACATATGCATTTCCAATTAGGGCTTTACAATAGCCTTTGACCAATTCCAGTATTACTAAATAGCCTTTGATTTGGATAACTTGAAGAAATAAGCAACAAATAATTTCTGAAAATGGCTTTTTTATGTACAATCGATCCTTGAACAACATAGGAGTTAGGGGTATTGATACCCCTTTCAGTCAGAAATCTGGGTATAACTTCTAACTCCCCCAAAATTTAACTACTAATAGTCTACTGTTGATCTTGACCAGAAGCCTTATCAATAACACAAACAGCCACTTAACACATATTTTGTGTGTTCTATGCATTCTGTACTGTATCCTCACAATAAAGTCAGCTAGAGAAAAGAAAATGTTACTAAGAAAATCGCAAGGAAGAGAAAATATATTTTCTATTCATTAGGTGGGATTGGATCTGGATCATCATAAAGGCCTTTATCCTTCTCATCTTCACATTGAGTGGGCTGAGGAGGAAGAGGAGGGGTTGGTTTTGCTGTCTTAGAAGTGGCAGAGACAGAAGAAAATTCACCTGTAAGTGGACCCTGGCAGCTCAACCGCATTGTTCAAGAGTCAACTGTATAACTTTTAAATGATGTATCCATGCAGACCTCGTTTTGAAAATACAATAATAATGATGACAAACGAAATGAAAATCAGCACACCAGGCAGGATTCTTTGAGCTGGTTTTCTCCTAAGTCCGCAGAATACAACTCTGTCATTAAAAGGGATTCCAGTCCGAATCTGTACAAGGTCCCCAAGCTCCTTCCCCTCCAGGCTGCTCAGGGCTGCTGTCTCGGTGAGTGTTTCACCCTTAGCCCGCACTTACACAGAGCCACTATTTAACAACCTCTTTGTCTGTCTCCGTAATTGTAATAATTAAACACATTGAGGGAAGGGGGAGATGGAAACATAGTTTCCTTGTGAATTTGGAAAGAAAAAAAAGTTTAATCACGGGGCCGGCACAGTGGCTTATGCCTGTAATCCCAGCACTTTGAGAGGCCGAGGCAGGCGGATCACCTGAGGTCAGGGGTTCAAGGCCGGCCTGGCCAACATGATGAAACCCCGTCTGTACCAAAAACACAAAAATTAGCCAGTCATGGTGGCAGATGCCTATAATCCCAGCTACTGTAGAGGCTGAGGCAGGAGAATCGTTTGAACCCGGGAGGCAGAGGTTACAGTGAGCCAAGATGGTGTCACTGCATTCCAGCCTGGGCTACAGAGTGAGACTCCATCTCAAAAAAACAAAGAAACTTTAATCATTCCCTTCTATAAGCAAAGCCCAGTGTGAAGATGGGTGAGGTCCTGGTGGAGCTATTGTTATCTCTTAAAAGCTATTTTATTCTTTTGAAATCAAAGGCAAGAAAACACAGACACAACCACATCGAGACCACTGCAGACTGCTCTCTACCCTCTCCTCTGTGCTCCTCCATCAGGCACACCTGCCAGATTAATCCTCCTAAAATGCCACATTAATCATGTTACTGCTGCTCACTGATCTTCATAGCTCCTAATTACTTAGAGAATTAAATTCGAACATGGACTTGACTGCTCTGGGCCCTCCCCAGCTGGGCCACATTCCATGGCTGGTCCTCTTACCGACATCTTTCTGTGTTTCTACCCTTCCTTCTGATAAATGAGTCTGATCACCGTTTCTCAAATTAATTGTGCATTTTCTCAACACCAAGCATTTGCTCACTCTATTCCCTGGGCCGTAAAGCTCTTTCATCATTCTGTTTCCCTCCCTCCCTCCCTTCCTTCCTTCCTTCCTTCTTTAATCATGGAGTATCTACAATGGATTAGGAGCTATGGGTGAATCCTGCTCCCTCCTCCACCTGCCCTGCAGGATGTCCTCCTCCTCTACAGCACACACCACTTAATGTTTTGTCATTAGTTTGTCAATTAGTCATAAAATCCTGTAACCACCTCTTATATTATTCAAAAATATATTTGCTTTACCTCGCAATAAGATTTCTCCCGGCCAGGATCATGGCTTATTCTTTTTGGTGCATGACATCATGCATTGCCTATAATAGGTATGTTTCAGAGACATTTCTTATATGTATGAATTCATTGTGGATGAATTAATCCACAATGAATTGATAGATTAATTGTATTAAAATTCAGTCTTAATGACTTCTGTACTTTGATTTTTCCCTAACCGTAGTGCTGCAAGCTTAGATATCCCTGCAGGGTAGAGGACTGTGTAAGGTGAAGTAATTCCTGAGCTAGACATCTGGGCATTTTATAACTGTCCAATGGCAATAATAAAACCTTGAGCCAAATCACAGTGTGGGATGTTATTTCATCATTCTTAGTGGATCCATGCCTCAGGGAAACCCATGGCATAGACAGGCTCGTGATTTTAAAAAGCAGAATAAATAAATCGAGGGTAAAATATTGCCTGTGCACCTGGAGGATATCATGCTAAGTGAAATAAGCCAGTCATAAAAAGAAACAATGTAGGATTCCACTTACATGGGTTCCTAGAATAGTCAAATTTGTAGAGACAGAAAACAGAGTGGTAGTTACTGGAGGCTAAGCCAGGGTAGAGAGGTAATTGTTTAATAGATACAAAGTTTCCCTTTTGCAAGATGAAAATGTTCAGGCGATTACTTGTACAACAACATAAATGTAATTGACACTACTGAACTTAAAAATAAAGATGGTGAATTTTATGATATGTGTACTTTCCCACAGGTCTTAAAATTTTTTAGCATGCCTCTAGTCCCAGCCACTTGGGAGGCTGAGGCAGGAGGATAGCTTGAGCCCAAGGATCCAAGACTGCAGTGACCTATGACTCCACCACTGCACCCCAGCCTAGGTGACAGAAGGAGACACTGTCTCTAAAACAAATAATAATAATAATAATAATAAAATACACAGAACTAAAAAATTTACATAACCGTTAAAAAGAAAAAATAACTGCTTGTGAAAGAATTCTGAGGTATGTTTGGCAGATGAAAATCATTTCAATCATGCCAAAAAGAAAAATGCCTCTGCAGTGGTTTTCAGATAACAAAGGAATTTACATGTGTTTGTTTGTTGGTTGGTTGGTTGGTTGGTTGGTTGGTTGGTTGGTTTTAGCAAGAAAGCTGCTCTAATATATTTCAAGTGACTAGATGGACCATTCTTTGGAGTATCTTCCAGTCTTGCCATCTTAATAAATGGATGAATGCCTCCGTTGTCCCGAATGTTTATTTCTGCGTTCTCATCTTGAATAATTATAAAAGAGAATAGCCTTACAGATCACTTTACAATTTATAAAATATCTCAAGTTTGCTGTTTTCAAAGACAAGGATGTCTGTGTCAGCACCCCCATTTCCACATTTGATCATGGGCAAGAAAGAATTTTTTTTCTTTTGAGTGAATTCTTTTTATTCTTTTTGTGAACCAGTTTCTCCTTATTTGATCTTCTAAACTAGACACAAGGTTTTGGATGACCTTTTTATAAAATCCTTCTTCTATATAGGAAAGCAATGTTTATGTATGCATACTTTTATTTTTTAACCACATCTGTGATATGTTCAATGGCTCGTGGATAAAACACTTAAAAATAAAGAAAAGAGTTTTTTGTTTTTTGTTTTGTAAGCGTCTCGCTTTGTTGCCCAGCCTGGAGTGCAGTGGCGCAATCTCAGCTCACTGCAGCCTTGAACTCCTGAGCTCAAGTGATCCTACCACCTCAGCCTCCCGAGTAGAAAACCTTTTTTTTTTGGGTAGGGGGCCGGGGGAAGATGGAGTCTTGCTGTGTGGCCCAGGCTGGAGAGCAGTGTCATGATCTTAGCTCACTGCAACCTCTGCCTCCCGGTTCAAGGGATTCTCCTGCCTCAACCACCTTAGTAGCTGGAATTACAGGTGTCCGCCACCACACCCGGCTAATTTTCGTAGTTTTAGTAGAGACAGGGTTTCTACATGTTGGCCAGGCTGGTTTTAAACTCCTGACCTCAAGTGATCTGCCCTCCGCAGACTCCTAAAGTGCTGAGATTACAGGCGTGAGCCCCCGAACCTAGCCAAAGCATTTTTTAAGAACTGGAACTAGTGTAAACTTCTAGGCATTACATTGAGAAGTTGACACAAATTCTTGATGAATTTTGCTCCAATTTTTCCGGCAGCTTAGACACAAAGGGAAACACACTGGATTATGTATTTTGTTTTGCAGCAGGAGAATATGTTCAAATTTAAATGCAGGTGATGACAGTAATTGGGACACTCGATTTTTATGTTCTTTAAAAGAAACAAGTATATATCTGTTGACTTTCTCATGTAACACTCATTTTACATTCTTTTGTTACTCTCTTCTTCTTTGCAGAACTTTCACTTTCTTTGTAACTTTCATCCAACAGTGAAACAAACTGGAAATTATGGTCTACCAAGGAACTGACTGTGGAAGAGAACAAATGAATGATTCCTGCTCAGCCTTTGCAGGGTACAATATCTCACCCATTGCTGCTTCTGAGAAGCTTCTTTGGAGGCTTTTTTTTTTTTTTTCTGAGGTGCTTTTTTTTCAACCAGTATCTCCCCAGTCCATATTTGTTTCTCAGTCAGGAAACTTTGTAGATGTCTAATCTTCTAGAGGCTGAGGAGCTTGGAATCTCTTGGGCTTTTCAACCCTTTGAGAGCCTTTCATGTAAGTGAAACAAATAGAGAGTAATACAAGATAGGATATGAGCAATAAGGTGCTAAATTGAATGTAATCAAGAAAGTGCAAAAATGGCTGATCTTATCAATAAGTCAGAAAAGTGTGAAAAATTACATGAACTACAAAGATCTGGGAAGGTCTCACGGCAGCCAGAGACTTCGAGATTGTAGGAGTCCATAGGAAATTGGCTCTTGCCTCTTTCTACTTTTCCCCATTGAATTTGTTTTTGTTTCTATGGAGTAATTTTCTTCTATCGGTCCTTTTTCATTTCGTCCCTGCCCTTCAGAAATTTATTCTATTTCATTTCTTTAGCAAATATAAGGGGCATATTATTGATTCTTCAATTCCCTGTCTTATTTTTCCTATGCAAAAACCCAACCTGTAAGTGTGTTTCTTCTCCAAGGCTATTTTAAACAAACCATTTTCCCAGTCCTTCTTTTTGTTAAACAGGACTGTCTAATCGGGTTAAGTTCTTTTTTTTTTTTTTTTTTTTTTTTTTAACAGATAAACAGTTTCTTTATTCATCCTCCTCCTCCTCTTCTTCATCTTCCTCTTCCACCTTTTTCCGGGCAACTTTAGCAGGACCCTTTGCACCATCAAACTCGTCAAACTTTCCTTTTGACTTATAGTCAGCAACATCCTTCTCATACTTTTCTTTCAGTTTTGCTGCCTTAGTGATGTAAGGCTGCTTTTCACTGTCATTTAAATTATTCCACATCTCACCCAGCTTTTTTGCCACGTCTCCAATAGAGATGCCAGGGTTTGTGGATTTGATCTTGGGATGGAATTCTGAACAGAACAGGAAGAATCCAGACGGTGGCCTTTTGGGAGCATTAGGATCCCTCTTCTTGCCTCCCTTAGCTGGTCCATAACCTTTCATTTCCCGATCATAGCGCACTTTATCTGCCTTTGCCATTTCATCAAATTTAGATTTCTCTTTCCCGGACATCGTCTTCCACCCCTCAGAGCACTTCTTGGAAAATTCCGCAAAATTGACAGGGACCTCTGGGTTTTTCTTCTTATGTTCTTCTCTGCACGTCTCTACAAAGAAGGCATAAGCAGACATCTTGCCCTTTGGTTTCTTGGGGTCACCTTTAGCCATCCTGACTGTATTGTTCGCTAGTCTAATCGGGTTAAGTTCTTGATGAAGAGGTACCTGGTTTGTGTTGGTACAGAATTCTCATTAGAATATATAGTGAAGCTCTATACACATGTTCATTAAGGCAACATTTCAATTCAGACACATTTCCAATCACATACCCCAGGTATGCCAAAGAGTTTAAACCTCAGTCCTGATAATACTACTTCTCATATGTGCTGTTCTAAAGTAGAAGAGATTCCAGAAACTTCAGACAGATTTGGTGATCCATACTTACAAAGATCTGCTGAATAGCCGGCTCAAATGCACTTAATCAGTATCACAAAATGCCACCCATAAATTAAGGCCAAATAATAATGCATAGCTCACGAGATGTTTTAAAATGCATTTATCTGAAAATAGAGCTGAAACCTGAGAAAGATGCTGGTCTCACTAATAGTAAGAGAAATGCCAATTAAAGCGACATGAAAATGCCATTTCTCTCTGCAGAGGGACAAAAAGCCCACAGTTTGGCAGTGAATTCTATTGGAGCGACTGTGAAGAGTGAGGCACTTGCAGAGATTACTGGTGGGAATGCAAGAAGGTACAGCTTCTATGAAAGGGAATTTGACAACATGTATAGCAAAATCATATACCCATTTACTCTTTGGTCGTCTTCTGGAGACCCACCCCTAAGATGGATTGCCAAAAATACAAAAACACTTATTCCTAAGGCTACTCCTCGCAGCATTATTTGTCATAGCAAAAGAAAAGCAACCTGAAATAACCCAAATGTCTATCCATTGGTGTCTGGGTAAATAAATTGTGGTCCATGAAAGAATATCTCATAGCTCTATAAAGAAATGAGTAACTCTTCTATATAAACCATAGAGCGATTTTCAGGATATATTATTATACGCAAAAGTGAGGTGAGAAAGTGTATGCTGTTTTCTAGAAAAGGGAAGATATGAATATATACACACATTTATTTATGTTTTTAAAATAGAGCAAAGATCACTAAACACACACACACAGAATGGCTAACTGGTACCTACAAGAAAAATGATGCAACAAAGTGAATAAGATAATGATAGAAGCTATGAGCTTTGGCTATATCTTGTTTTAGAGATTTAGAATGATATAAACATGTTGCATAAATATTAACTTTAAGCAACTCCTAAATATTAAAAAATAAACTTAAATATACATCTGGTTGATGGCATAAACACACAGGGAGGAACTATTTAAAGCAACTTTTAGTTTAGTTTATTACGATTTCAACTTTTATTTTAGATTTGGGGGTTCACATGCAGGCTTGTTACCCAGGTATATCGTGTAACACTGAGGTTTGGGTTATAAATGATCCTGTCAGCCAGATAGTGAGCCTAGTACCCAATAGGTAGTTTTTCAGCCCTTCTCCCTTCCCTCTCTCCCCTCTCTAGTAGTCTCCAGCATCTATTGTTCCCATCTTTATGTCTGTGAGTATGCAGTGTTTAGCTCCCACTTATAAGTGAGAACACGTAGTATTTGGTTTTCTGTTCCTGTGTTAATTTGCTCAGGATAATGACCTCCAGCTGTATCCATGTTGCTGTAAAGAACATGATTTCAGTCTTTTTCATGGCTACATGGTATTCCATGGTGTATATGTACCACATTTTCTTTATCCAACCCACCATTGCTGGGCACTTAGGTTGAAGGGCACATTATTGATTCTTTGTTGTTGTAAATGTGCTGTGATGAACATACGAGTGTGGGTGTCTTTTTGCTAGAATGATTTCTTTATTTTGGGTATATTCCCACTAATGGGATTGCTGGGTCAAATGGAAGCTTGGTTTCAAGTTTCTTCAGAAATCTCCAAATTGCAAAGCAACTTTTATGTCATAGCGATTTCATTATATATCCCAAAGGACAAAAAGAACTTAAAAAAAATTTGAAATGATTACCAGTCACTTTGGTGTTGGTAGTGGTGATTTTGTTTTTCTGAGGCTATCATGTGAGTAGTGTGGATAAAGCAAGTGAGAAATGGTGTTGGCGTCATTGAGATCCAGATTTTTGTCATGTGAGAAAAAGGAAATTGATGAGATTGTGTAAAACTGTAGTCCTGATTCTGAAATGGAAATACCAGCATAAATGTATGACTTAATTTATACTTAAAAGAAAATACTTAAAATGCCCCAATTTTGTACCCTTTAAAGTCCTAGAAACAACCAATCCAGTAGTAATTAGTATTCCTCGTTCCCCAATGGTGGATCTAGATTCTATTTCCCACTAAAGAGAACCAACCCCCTTAAATAATTGGTCACACCAGGAAGCAAAGAAATTAAATGACTATCAAGGGTGTTTCAAACAGATTCAGGAGCAACTGAATAGTTCTTATTCCTGGGGTCTGACAATTTGATTCCAAATTAGGATAAAACTGTAATGGATGAATTGAAACATATCAAATTTGTTTGACTCCATAAATGAATAATGATGCTTTAACTAAATTCATCAGTCACATTTGGATGATGCTAGGCATGGTAAAAATTGGTGAATTTTAAAAATTGGTGAATAAAGCAGTGTTTCCTGTTGTGGATATATTCTAACTAATCAATGATGTAGGAATGATAGAATAAAAATGACAACATTTACAATCCCTAAAGAATTAATGGAGTGAGGCAGAGATCAACAGATGATGATATCACAAAAAGAGAGAAAACCAGACATTATATAACACTGGGTGGAAGGAGATGCCACCACTGATGATGTATTCTTGCCAAATGTACAAGAAATACAGGAAACAGAGGAACATGATAAACAACACCACAGAGATTCAATTAGTAAAATCCAGATTACAGGAAACTGTAAAAGCAAATGACCCAGTGTGTTCAACAAGATTTGCAAGAAAAAAGAAAGTAATTGGGAAATCTATAGATTAAAAGAGAACTGAGACCTACTAGTCAATCGCTATTTATGGACCTTATTTGGATCCTGCTTCAAACAACACACACAATTGAGGAAGTCTAAGCACCATTTGAGAATATTAAGAAATTATTGTATAAGAATGGCATTATGGTCGTTTTCTTTAAATCTCTGTCTTTTAGAGATGTAAACTACAATGTTATAAGTGACAATGTATTAATTTATGTAATAGTCTATTAAAATTATTTATAGTAACTCTATTATAATTCTATAGAGAGAAGATATGGATATGCATATCTAACAAACTTTATTTTTTTATTTTTTATTTTTGTTTTTGTGGAGATGGGATCTTGCTATGTTGCCCAGGCTGCTCTCAAACTCCTGGGCTCAAGTGATCGTCTGGTCTTGGCTACCCAAAGTGCTGGGATTACAGGTATGATGCACCATGCCCAGCCATCTAACAAACTTTATTTTATTGCTTAAACTTGCTTTGAAGCTTATAAATGACAATACATTTCTTGGATGTCAGGAGGCCCAAAGAAAACAAGTGACCATGAAAAGAGCTATGACATATAGCTCTTCAAATGACCCATCTCTTATGGGCCAGGCTCGGTGCCAGAGATGCAGTGATGATTAAGTGAAACACATGAGCTGAGCTTGTGAGGATGAGAGAGACTCCACTGCATGAGGATCTGGGATGATGGAAGGGCCCTGCAGGGAGGGGACCCCATGACCAGAAGTCCTGCCACAGTGGGGGAGAGCTTGGTATAACTGAGTTCAGTTGGATCCCTCAAACACTGCCCAGAGCCCTTGAAGGCATCTAAGGACACACTTATCAGGCCTGCCCCCATACCACACTCAATTCAGAATCTTTTAAAGGCAGCTCTCTGTCAGGCTTGCCTGAGATGGTTTGGTTTTCCCTGGATAGGAGAGCCACACACAGTGAAAGCTCTAGGACTAAGTCGAACCACATGAAATCGCCAGCTTGATGGACCCACAGTGGCTGAAAGTTGGCAATTTCCCATGCTCTGACCTCAGCATTCCGAGTGCTGGGACTGGCTCGTGGGCACCAGAGTGGCTGGGGAAATTCTCTTGGCTTTGTGTCTCCCTGGCCTTTCTACTCAGGCCAGGCTGGGGTTACAGCACAGATGGGGCTAGGGACACTGAGCAGGGCCACCATAGAGCCTCGGGGACAGGAAGGCATAGATGGGCTCTGTGTGGCCTCGCCTTCCCTTTCTGGGGAGTAGAGCATCTGGAAAGAAAGGAAACCCGCTTAGAGAAGAAGATTGGGGTTCTAGACTTGAGCAATTATATGGGCAGTGACTGAGGTCTGGTGTAAGTCAAAGTAAGAGATCTAGAGCAGGGAAGCGAGCACCACAGTGTAGACCTCAATGGCAGTGTAACCTTGATGGCAGTGTAGACCTCGATGACAGCATAACCTCAATGGCAGTGTAACCTTGATGGCAGTGTAGACCTCGATGGCAGCATAACCTCAATGGCAGTGTAACCTCAATGGCAGTGTAGACCTCGATGGCAGGAAGACTGTGGGAAGCACATGAAACACGGGGGAAAAAATGAGAGAAGACCTTTCTCTAAGCCAGCATTTGCTCCAATTCGCAGCAAGGAGGAACTGGTACCCTACCATACCTTGTCTGTAGTTGGTTGACTTCAGCTTAGTAGGAATCGTTGACTGAATGTAATTCTTTTAGCTAAGGATAGGTTCAGCCATTTTAAATTCATCATTTCAATGTGATCTTTATGGAATTTAGATCCTTAAAAATTCTATGAATTATCATAGAAAAAAGACAGATGATAGGAAGGGAGGGAAGAAGAACATCTCAGTGACCTTCCAACTAATTATTCCAATAATGACTCTGGCCATAGGGTGGGCGGGTGAGATAAGGTGCACCTTAGAGCGTACTGCCTTATCTTAGCAATTTTGTACTAATGAGAACCTGATATTTGAAATAAATACACTAATGATATCGATTCATTTTACATTCAGCTTCATATAATAGAAAAACTAATGCTTACTAGATATATGAATAGTGGCTTAAACAGGATATTTATTTCTCTTTTGTGAAAAAAACAGCCTGCAGGTAGTTAATCCAGGGCTGTTTTGGAAGTTCTGTAGACAACAGAGACCCAGGCCTCTGGTATTTTGCTCCTCCACCATCCTCAGTGGATCACCTCATGGCCCCAAGTGGCTACTTGAGATCCAGGCATCACATCTGTATTCCAGGCTGCAGTAGGAAAAAGAGAAGGTTATCCCCCACCTGTTTCAGGAGATTTCATTTAACACCCCATTAGGCAAAGCTTAGTCATGGAACACATGTGAGTGAGGATGTATTTGTATAATATTTTAGATTAGATGGGCATGTTGCTGATATGATTAAAATGAATGTTTTCTTACATGGAGAAGATGAAGCGTGTAGGGGTGGATGCTGGCCATCTCTTCACTTCAGCAGTAGGGCCTGCTGTTGGCCAAGGCACCTGTGTGGAGGAGAGGCTTCTGTTATGAAATTAGATAGGAATGACACCCACATAGAACAAAAAGTAAATCTTTTCCTCCTTCCAACTTTCTTCTAAGTGCTTTCAATTTCTTACTGGCTGGGTTTTGAATTCTAGGAAAATAAAGCTTCAGACAGTGGCTGTGACAGGTTGCCCCACGTGAAACCTCCCATGCACAGAATCACTGCACCAGATATAATTGAGAGCTAATTTCATATTTCCTGCATATCATATTGGAAAATTGAGCTGTCAGATCTCTTTAAGGGCTACATGCCAAAATGAGAACAGCCAAGCCCTTCTCTTCGCAATTCATTTCTGCAGGACTTTTTTTTTTTCTCACTATCTTCAAGACTCAAGAAAGTTGTACTAGAAGCCAAATCCATCTAATTTGAGTAAGCTTTTGAAGTTCAGATATTTGCCGTGGATAAAATTGAGAAAATTTACCGGGAAAAGCTTCTCTGAAGTATCCCTTCCCACTAAAAGTCCCTTAATTTCCAAAACGTTTCAAACTGTGGGTTGTGAGATAACCAATGCATTGTGGGAGGGTGGATTGGCTCTTGGTTCTCTGTGGTCAGAGCACCCTGGCATACCTGTGCAATGAAGAGCTGGGTGAATGAGAAATAAGCAGGGAATTTCTCAGTGTGTCTGCCTTCCGGATTCAAGTGATTCTCCTGCCTCAGCCTCCCGAGTAGCTGGGACTATAGGCCTGTGCCACCACACCCAGCTAGTTTTTATATTTTAGTAGAGATGGGGTTTCACTGTGTTGGCCAGGCTGGTCTCAAAGTCCTGTCCTCAAGTTATCTGCCCGCCTCGGCCTCCCGAGGTGCTGGGATTACAGGAGTGAGTCACCATGTCCGGCCCAGTACATCTGTTGAAGGTGATTAAGCTGCATGCTGTGAAGGTATTCCAGGAGACTCACAGCTGGTACGGGAACCTTAGGCTCTGTCACTTAGGAAAGAATCTTCCAATCTGTGGACCACCTCACTTGTGTTCTTTTCTTGTAACTTTTTCTGAGCTCCTTTGCATCCTGTGTTTTCCCAAAGGATGTTTAACTGGAAGGAAAT